TTGTCGGGGCCGGTAGGGCACAGGCATACACACACGCACAACCGCAACCGCAGCCACAGCCACAGCCACAGCGACAGTGCACTGCAGTGCGTAATGCCGCGCTGCGTGTGTGTGTGTGTGTGTGCGCTAGGTCCCACCGGCTTGGCGCTGGGTGCGGACTTGGCGAAGCGGGGCGTGAGCTTTCTGCTGCTGGACAAGTGCCCGCGTGTCGTGCCTTACACCAGAGGATGCGCACTCCACGCCAATGTCTGTGATGACCTGCACACAAGTGGATGGATGGACGTCGTCATTGCTGCGTGTGTTGTGTGCAGACCCAGGAGGCGTTTGAGAGGTGGGGTGTGATTGACGACGTGCGGGAGAGGGCCGTAGAGGTCGTGGGCGAGCGACTGTTTGTCGATGGCGACGAGTGTGTGGACTGGACCTTTGAGAGGTGCCAGCACTCACACTACCAATACCCGATCCTCGTCGCACAGGTGAGCCCACGCCACACACCCACACACTCACACACGTACCATGGAATGGATGGATGGATGGATGGATGTAGAGTGAGCTCGAGCGCATCCTCACCGAGTCGGTCATCGGTCAGTGTCGACATCGACAGCCAGCCAGCCAGCCAGCCAGACGGACAGACAGACTGCCTGCGACACACACATGCATCTCTCGGTGCATTGTCAGCGGTGTGCTGTGGTGTGCTGCAGGGACGGAGAGGGTCAAATGCCCCGTGTGGATTCACGACATGAAGATTGGCGAGCTGCCGGTACATCAAACCCACTCCCATCCCGCGCCCCCACACACATCTACTGGCATACTCATGGCAGCAGGGCACGTTTACTCAATCTTTCGCCTCTCTCTCTCTCTCTCTGTGTGTGTGTGTGTGTGTGTGTGTGTCTGTGTGTCTGTGTGTGTGTGTGTGTAGGACGATGGCTGTGAGGTGACGGTTCAGGCGCTCGAGATGACATCGGACTTCGTTGACCACGTATTGCAATGCAGCACAGTACGGCGTATTCTCATCTAAGTAGAAGGGCCTGTTGTTTGTCATCATCAGTGTGTCGACGGAACCGACCTCTCTAACCTGCCGCTGCTCAAAGGTCGGTGTGTGGCTGGTGGGTCGGGAGGGAGAGAGGGACTCGCCACACACGCGTGTGGGTGTGGGTGTGGTGGGCATACAGGCAGTCCGGTGGTCAAGATCCAGAGCAAATATATCGTGGGCTGCGAGTGAGTGAGTCCGTCAGTCCGTCAGTCAGGGAGAACCACGAAGGTCATTGGGACACTGTGTGTGTGTGTGTGTGTCAGTGGAGCCCAATCGCTGGTGCGTCAGAGGCTGGGCATCAACTTCAACGTGGAGGAGTGCCTCCCATATGAGTACGCAACGAACCCGTCGATCCATCCACCCCACCACCCACACGTGTGGATGTATGTATCCGATCTTGCTCCAACACATGTGTCCGTGTGTCTCCTCCATGGGTCAGATTCGTCGACTCGCATCTCAAGGTCTGTGCGCACTCTCTCCCCCTCTCGCCCTCTCCCCGTCTCCGCGTCTCCCCTCCTCTCTCACAGTGCAGTGCAGTGCATCCCTGCAATGTGCGTGTCTGTGGGCGCTTTCAGATCAAGTGGGGTGGTCTCCCAGCGGATCCGTCGAGCAGCCCCAAGTGGAATTTTATGTCGGCCAGTGGGAGGGTCGTGTGCTGCATCGCGCTGCCGCACGAGCAAGACTGCTGGCGGGTCATCTGCATCACCCCCACAGCCAAAGACACGTCTGTCAGTGTGGTGCTCGACAACAACTACCTGCCGCTGTTCCCGGAGAGGGACGAGATCGAACAACTCATCAATGAGGTAAGGATGAAGATCTCTCCTCCCCTTTCTCTTTGGAGCTCCCACAGATGTCTGTCTGTCTGTGTGTCTGTGCAGGTGGTGCCAGGGAGTGTTGTGGAGTCGGTGTTGTGGCGCATGCAAATCCCTCTTATCGCAGGAGTGGCCGACACCTACCAGCAAGGCAACGCCTTCCTCTGTGGCGACGCTGCTCACACCGGCCCGCCGCTCGGATACCTTGGGATGAACGTCGGCATACAGGCAACCAGCTGCACCCCCACTCCCCCCCCCCCCCCCCCCCCCCCC